CTTCAGCACTGCGTTCCTGCAGGGTAGCCTGCACGAGGAGATCTGGCTGCGCCGTCCACCTGGCTTCACTGGGACTTTCCCTCCTGGCACCCAGTGGAGCCTCCGACGGCCAGTCTACGGTCTCCGCCAGGCACCGCGTGAGTGGCACGACACACTGAGGACTACGCTTGCGGCTCTTGGGTTTGCTCCTTCTACTGCTGACCCGTCGCTGTTTTTGCGCACCGACACTTCTCTGCCGCCGTTCTACATCCTCGTGTACGTCGACGACTTGGTCTTTGCCACAGCGGACACTGCTGGACTCGCCTACGTGAAGTCCGAACGGCTGAAGAGACACACGTGCACAGACCTGGGTGAACTGCGCAGCTACCTTGGCTTGCAGATCACTCGGGACAGAGCACGCCGCACCATTACCTTGACTCAGTCACACATGGTGCAGCAGGTCCTTCAGCGCTTCGGCTTCACGTACTCCTCGCCTCAGGCCACTCCTCTGTCTACTCGCCACTCGCTCTCAGCTCTGCCTTCGGATGAGTCCGTAGAGTCGAGTGGCCCGTACCCAGAGCTTGTTGGCTGCCTCATGTACCTGATGACCTGCACACGACCTGACCTTGCATACCCTCTGAGCATTCTTGCACGCTATGTTGCTCCTGGGAGACACCGACCAGAGCACATGGCTGCAGCGAAGAGGGTGTTGCGCTACCTGTGCAGTACGTCGGGCATGGGGCTAGTGCTTGGAGGGCGGAGTCCAGTGGTCCTTACAGGGCACGCGGAAGCTTCTTGGGCTGACGACCAGGCTACGCAGCGGTCGTCACAGGGTTACACCTTCAGTCTTGGTTCCGGCTCTGTCTCGTGGCGGTCTACTCGCTCGTCTTCGGTTCTCAGCTCCAGTTGTGAGGCTGAGATCTACGCTGGGGCCATGGCTGCACAGGAGCTTCGCTGGCTCACCTACCTGCTGACTGACCTTGGAGAGCCGCCTCGTTCTCCTCCAGTGCTGTACGTAGACAACAAGGCCATGCTGGCCTTGTGTCGAGAGCAGCGCTTGGAGCACAGAACGAAGCACATTGCTCTCCGCTACTTCCTTGCTCGTGAGCTGCAGCAGCGTGGTCAGTTGCGACTTGCGTACGTGGCCTCTGAGGCCAACACTGCTGATGTGTTCACCAAGGCACTCGCGCCTTGTGACCATCAGCGCTTCTGCACCCAGCTGGGTCTTGTGCCTGTCTTGCCTCACTTGCTCTCTTCTTGACTTTACTTGTTCTGTGACATATATATACCTGCTCTTGCTTGTCTAGTTTTATATATATGTCTGTACTCCTGCATGTGAACTGGCCTCTGGCCCTGCTCTTGTGCTCGGACTGTGTGGTGACTTTGTGATCCACCCTGAGCTTGCTTTGCTTTGCTTTGCTTGACTGGTCTTGTGACCCCTTGTTCTCCCCCACTTTGCCTATGGGGGTGTGTCAGAGTATTATAGCTGATGCATGTTTGTAGGCTATAGTGGGGTAGCACATATGGGGTACAGCTTTCTAGGGTTGTATTTGTACCCAACTCTGACTTAGTCATTTCATTCCTGGTCATTTATTTCACATTTTCGGATGCATGGTACAGTACCGACCCCCAGCAGCACGAGCGGGCCGATTTTCTCAACAAGCACAGTGGGGACTACACCTGGGAATCGAAAAGAACTACAACGCGTGGAAAATCTTTGACGTCCACTCCAAGGAAACAGTAGCAGCACGTGACGTAATTTTCTACGAACGACTCACGCTCCAGACATACCTTGCCAACCTTCAAGAAGACGAAGATCCCACAGGTGGTTTTCGTGGTGACCGAGCCTTCGCCTCCGCAGCAGACGAAGCTGACTGGACGAGCAGAATGTGGACAACGCATCAGAAGAAGCCGGACCTCTTCCGTTCTACTCCGTCGACGTTCCCATGGACAAAGACAACCCTCGCGAAAGTGCCAACACCGAAACCTTCTACCATTTCGCCGACAACAGTTACGTAACACCTGCGACAGTCAACACCAACGAAGCCAAACGAGTAGGACCAAATTTCTTACCAGATCCAGAAGCGGGAGATGAAGCAGCTTATCTCAAGGATGCAACTCTTCCCCGCTACTCACAGACCGGACTGCAGATTCTCGGACTCGTCACCGCAGTCCATGACACCGCCACTCCTAAAGAGCCTGCGACAGTTCGACAGGCTCTGGGGGGGGAACATAAAGAAAAATGGCGCGAAGCCATGGACAAGGAGCTGAAGGCACTAGAGGAACGCAACACGTGGAAAGTGGTTCCTATCGGCGTGACACGGAACATGACAGTACTCACCGGGAAGTGGGTCTTCCGTGTGAAGACAAAAGCCGACGGAACCATTGACAAATTCAAAGCTCGCTGGGTCGTACGCGGCTTCGACCAAGAACACGGACGCGACTTCACCGAAACTTTCGCTCCGGTTAGCCGCCACACCTCAATACGCATTCTCCTCGCAATCGCCGCCATGAAGAAGAAGAAGCTGCGACAAATTGACGTCGCGAACGCGTTTCTCTACGCACCTGTTGATGCTGAAATTTTCGTTGAGCTACCGCACGGCTCCCACGGAGAACCCAACCAAGTTTGCCAGCTACTCAAGTCACTCAACGGCATTAAGCAGGCCCCGCGACTGTGGCAACAGTACCTGCACGCTCGCCTCATCCGCATCGGCTTCAAGCAACTACCGCACGATCAAGGCATGTACCGGCTCACCAAAAACGACGACTACATCCTACTAATCGTCTACGTGGACGATCTCCTTTACATCGGCTCAACTGACGGCATCACCACCTGGTTCGAAGGGGAGCTGCAGCGAGATCTCACGCTCACAGTTTCATCTATCGTCACTCAGTACCTCGGCCTCAACATCCGGGAAGAAGAAGACGCTATCTACCTCAGCGCCGCGAAATACGCCGACACCATCGCCAAACGTTTCGCACTCACACCGACTGTCATCTCCACACCGTACCGCTACACGACAGCAACCAACAAGGAAGGCTCCGCTCTACTCAAGCCCGCCGGCATACGCGACTACCAGAGAAAGCTGGGATGCCTTCTCTTCGCAGCTGTTACCTGCCGCCCAGATCTATCCTACTCTGCAAGCCAGCTCGCTACCCACCTCAAGAAGCCTGAAACGGATCATCTGGCAGAGCTCGACCGCGCTCTCCACTACCTCGTCAGCACCCCGACGGTCGGCCTGACCTACCATAAGAACGCAACTACAACGCCTAAGCTAATCGGTTACGTCGACGCAGATCACGCGGGCGACTCCGACAACAGACGATCGCGCACCGGCTACATCTATCGCTTCGAACCTATCGGACCTATCTCCTGGCAATCGAGCAAGCAGGAACTAATTGCTCTCTCGTCAGTTGAAGCAGAATATATTGCACTCTGCTCAGCCACCAAGGAAGGGCTCTATCTTTGCGAGCTGCTGGAAGAAGCGAAGTTAGCCGAGTTACCCAACTTTACCCTGTTCTACGACAACCAGTCGGCAATTCGCATCGCCAACAAGAACGGTTTCGCGAACAGGACGAAACACATCGCCCTGCGATACTTCTTCGTGAAGGACGAGATTGAGAAGGGAAGGCTCGAGCTGTCATACTGTCCCACGTCCGAGATGGCAGCTGACTACCTGACCAAGAAGCTCGGAAAACAGAAGTTCGAATATTGCATGATGCTGACTGGACAAAGCCACGTCAGCGACACTCCAGAAGCGAAGGGGGGTGTTGGAAACAATCGGTCCTAAGCGCCTCTGTCGTGTCGAAACACTAAGGCACAAACGAAGCGAAGCTTATCGAGGCACCGGCGAGTCAACCCTCGGAGGTTGAAGCAACCGTTGGAGGTTACGCGAAAGTCAAAGGTCAGCGACCTTTGACTTGACAAATGCAGCGCGACAGCAAGGACACACAACTGACTCGACATTGAGCAGTTGCCCGAGTCGCACTGTATCAAACCGCAACAGTAAAACAGTTTGATTATATCTCTTCGTATTCCTTGTACTCTTATATTAACCTTTGTACTTGCTTGTTTTAATCAACTTACTTTGCCCTCACATACTAGCGCAAGGTGGTTCAGAATCTCTTTATTGACGCTTCCGCTACTACATCACTCTACCCAAAGTTTGACCCTACCAAAGATCCTAAGGGGCACTCAGCCCAACAATTCCGTCAGCCTAACCATAAATCCTATCAGGGTAAAAAAAAACATCCTCTTTTAAGAGAAGGGTAACTATCATGAAATCCTGATTTCGGCAAGGTAATCCTGAAAAAGCGGCCGGCCCCCAGGGTAATCAGGGCGTTTTACCCTGATATTTTGGGCCCTGAATGACATCCACACTTTCGGGGTAACCAGTTAAAGGGTGCTTAGTCTACTGTACATGGCAGGAGTGTCTGGGGATGGGAGCTGTTGTGAAATGCTTATGGTTATGGCACCATCCGATAAACATCGTACCGTAGCACCATAAACTATGTTGGGCTGAAAAAGCCCTTAAGGATCTTTGCAGAGGATAACTCTGGGTAGGATATTTGTAATAGCGGAAGCGTTTAATGAAGTTTGTGAACCGACCTTGCACTAGTGTGTGAGAGCAAAGTGGATTGAATTAAACAAGCAAATACAAGGTTTTATATAAGAGTACAGGGAATACGAATGGATAGATAACTGTATTTGCTGTTGCGATTCGATACAGTGCGACTCGGGCAACTGCTCTGTAACGAGTCAGTTGTGTGTCCTTAACTGTCGCGCTGTAATTGTCGAGTCAAAGGTCGCTGACCTTTGACTTTCCCGTAACCTCCAGGCGGTTACCCTAACCTCCGAGGTTTGACTCGATGCTTCGATTCGGACTGCTTCGCTAGTGTCTTGGGTTTTGACACGACAGAAGCGCACTAAGACTTATTGTTTCCAACAAACTATACACGACATGGATGGCACCATAAGGTTGCCAGTCAAGTGACCCACTCTTACTATACACCGACCAATGCTAATCCGACCCCACGTGCATGACATACAGCAGCAGCGTGGCCATCCACAGCATGCCCATGAGCCCGCCTGCTTGAGAAAAATCCCACGCGGCGGTGTGCGAGAGCAGCCAGAGGAACATGCGGTGTGTCCTCATGATTGCGGGCGGCGGCGGGCGGGCGCAGCGCTTGCAGAGCGGGCAGAGGGGCTTCTTCATGAGCCACTCGTCGATGCACGCTGTGTGGAACCCTGCACAGTGGACACATGGTGGGGAGGGGAAGTAGTGTGAGTGTGTGTGGGTGTATGTATTTGCGGCAAGAGGGGCTTCTTCATGAGCCACTCGTCGATGCAGGCCGTGTGGAACCCTGCACGGGCACTCAATTGGGGGGAGAGGCACAACAGAGGTAGGGTAAGCAAATGTGAGCGCGTGTGTGCGTTTGCAGAGCGGGCAGAGAGGCTTCTGCACGAGCCACTCGTTGATGCATGCCGTGACGAACCCTGCCGTGCCGTACACGGTGGACATGCGGTACACGGTGGACATGTGGTACACGGTAGACATGTGGTAGGGGAAGAGGAACGGCAGAGGTAGTGTGAGCAAGTGTCCTGTGTGTGCTTGTGCATGTGCGCGCGCACGTGTATGTGCATGTGTGCGTGCGTGTGCATGTGTAAGTGTGCGCGCTTGCGGGTGCATGAGCGTTGGTGTGTGCACGTGCGTGCCCGTGGGCGTGTCTGTGTGTGTGCATGTGCGTGCGCACACGTGCGCATGTGTGCTTGCTTGCGTGCGTGCGTGCGATGTGTGCGCGCGCGCGTGTGTGTGTGCATGCACATGTGCATTGGCATGCCAACCCGCCACTCACTGTGTTGGCACGGCAGTACTCTCAGCTGGTCGCCCCTCTTAAAGCCATCGAAGCAGATGGTGCACGGGTCTTCCTCCCCGCTCTCTGTTCTCACAACCCTTCTCCCTGATGCTCCACTGCATTCCAATCCCCTACCCGCATCCCCACTTCTATGCCCATGCACATCCACCTCCTCCTCGCCCTCCCTCTCCCCATCCACCTGCACCCGCCACTCCCCCCCTTCTCTGCTGCCCTGAACCAGCAGCTGGGACCGCTCCTCTCCCTCCTCTTCCTCCACTTCACACCGCCCTGCTGCCCCTCCTGCCGCCCCAGCCCTTGCCGCAACCCCTACAGGCACCGCCTCTGCTGCAGCGGCCACTAACGGCCGCTGCGCTCCCCCCTCGCCTCCGTCCAGCGTGGCTGTCGCTCCCTCCGCGCCACTCGGCGCACTACCTTCGCCCTCCTCGCCCTCGCCGCGAACCACGCTCCCTCCTCCACCCTCCGCTGCCCCTAGCTCCGCTGCTGCTGCGAGCGCGAGCCGTCTATCTCCGCCCTCGCTTGAAGACCCCGCAGGCCTACCCGGGATGCTCCTCTTGATCAGCCCCTCTGTACAATCAGTCAAATCCGCCCCGCCCTCCTCATCCTCCTCCTTTTGCTGCTGCTGTTGCTGCTGCCACTGGTCTCCGCCGCACCCCTCCCCACCGTACACCACCTGAGGCAACGCCGCCAGCTCCTCCGCCGTCATTGGCCCGAGGAACACCATCCCTTCCTCCGCTCCTTCCCCTTCCCCCCCCTCCCCATTCTCCCCGTCCCCTCCCCCTTCCCCCCCCCCGGCCCGGGGAACCCCGCCGCACAACAGCGCGAGCCACGGGCGGACGAATGCGCGCAGGAAGGGCGGAATGAAGTAGCTGAGGTGGCCCGCGCGGCGGGGGCGGCAGGCGTTGCGGAGCAACGCGAGGACGTCAAAGACGAGGGCGGGCGGGAGGAAGAGCGCCGTGAACAGCGCCACCTGCGCCGCGGTGTACGCGACGAGCGCGTGGTTCAGCGCCTCCGCGACCGCCTCCGAGTAGTCGCGCGCGGCGGTCGCCGCAAGGTGCGCGGAGCTGGCGAGCACCTGGCGGAGCGCGAGCGGAAGGAGCAGCACGAGCGTGGCGCAGAGCGCGAAGAAGCCGAAGACGGCGTAGTGCGGAAAGTCGTCCATCTCGTCGCCGTCGCCGTCGTCGCCGTCGCCGTCGCCGTCGCCCAGCACGAGCGTGCCGCTGCTGCTGCCGTCGCTGTTGCCGTCGCCGCTGCCGTCGCTGCCGTCGCTGTTGTCGCTCCACGGTTGAGTGTTGTCGCCGGAATCAATCGCGTCGAAGTTGAGTGGTTCGGAATCAGGTGCTGCGGAAGCAGCGGCGTCTGTCGAGAAATCATCTGTGCCATCTCCCCCCTCGGTTTCAGGGGAAGCAGGATCGCGCTCACTGTAATCACCTTCGTCTTTATCACTGCGGCCTATGCGCAAGAACAAGCGATGCCGGCTGCTGGGTCGCGTGACAGTAACGGGTTGTGTGAGGATAACGGGCTGTGTGCCAATAACGGGTTGTGTAACGGATTGCGTAACAGCTACAGGCTCCGCGACCGTAGGGAGTTGCGTGGCCGCACCAATGCCGGCACCGGCAGGGTGGAACCCGAAAGCCAGGAGAAGCGACACGACGACGAAGAGACGAATCGGTGCGCGCGAGAAATGCGTAGCAGACACTCGTACGAGAGCCATGGCTGGGAAACAATGATCTCTCACAAGCTGTTGTATCAGTGGAGCGTTAAGAAGCTATACAATGCTCGCTAGCTCGCGATCAGGAAACATCTCCAGCACGTACGATAGTGCGGCTCATTCACAACACGACTCGTAGTAAAAATGCGCACCACTCGAGCACGGACAGATTATATGAGCCACGGAGACTTCAGAATCAAAATGTCACGCACGCGCTCGCCCCTCCGCTGGCTTCAAGGCTTTCCACAGCTTTCAACAGAGTCACAGCCTAAGCTGAAGCTGCCCCGTCTCTCAGCTTATTATCAACAACGGCTATGGCTGAATTGAACGCTCTGTGCACATGGCTTGGTGGATGCACATTGCCTGATGCTTCAGTTCACCTGCTCCCTCCTTTCCCCCTCCCTCACCCAAGTTCCATCTGCGACGCTGTTGTGCAACGGACATGGAGCGAAACCCTAACTTCCTAGCAGATGCGTGTCGTGGCTGGTTGTGTTTCGGTTCGGGTGCACGAAACACCGAATTCAAGGCTGTGAGAGGAAGTCAACCCATTTGTGTCATGTGCCGGGTAGGCAAGGCTAGGCAGACCCCAAAAACCTTGCCGCAGGTCAGATTAAGAAAGTGTAAGGAATTTTCTCGGCATTCCTTACGAAGCCGACTACATCGCGTACAGCAACCGCCGTTGTTCGCCCGTTACTGCTAACGGAACTTCGCCGACTTCGCGCGCACTGTTTTGCCAAACCTCGCACTGCTGGCATGGCCGTATCGGCCTACGCTTCGGGACTAGCCCGAGCCTCGCTCCAGCGTAGCACTAGCAAGCTCGCACGCACCGCGTTACCGTTTTGCATGTTTCGCGTATAAATGTTCGCTCATGCCTTCGCTCACATTTTGTACTCGTTTGACACCTTAGTGCAATTCTCGCTACTTCGATTCATTGCACCCGTAACACTTGGTTATCAGAGCCCCTTTCTTTCGGACCGCGCATCTCCGCACACCAGGAAATCAACTTTTGATTTTTCACTCGAAGGGACTCACGCACCTTAGCCCCTAGGAGCCGCTGTCCTCGCGTTCTCTCGTAAACGCGTGCAGCCACGACTGCACCTAGACTAAGACGAGCCGACGCCCTTCGTCATGGCTGAAAATATCGACGTCACCACCCTCACGCAGGAGCGTTTGAACGATCTGCTGCGCGAAAGTTCCGAGGAAATCGCGGCATTGACGGCAGAACGCTCATCGCTGCAAAATGACCTCATGAGGGCACAACAAGCACAATCTCAAGCACCTGGCACTCCGATTCAACCTGCACCCTCAACATCACAACACGGGAGTGTGGGGCAACCCGCGAGCGCGGCCAGTGATGGCGTCGTCCGCCCCGACGGAGACGACGACCACGGCACGACACACCCCAGAGCGACGCATGCGGCCCCAAGTCAGCCTCGCGTCACGATTTCGGCACCAACCCAAGATTCGGGACTGCCGTCACCGATGCCGCTGAAGCCGCAGCGCCCGCCATGCTTTGACCCGAGTCAACGGGGTGGTCCTACCGTTCAGGCGTGGTTGTTCACAATGAATGTCTTCTTCGACGCCAACTACGTCTCGGAGGACTCGGCGAAGATTCGATACGCCGTGTCGCTGCTGCGAGGACCCGCCATGGACTGGTGGCGCGTCATCGTCACGAAGCCGACAGACTACGCGACACTACCGACACGGGAAGGACAAACCGGACCCTGGGCGCCGTCGTATTTCGTGGAGGTGCCCCAGTATCGCACGTGGGACGCGTGGTGCGCAGGTTTGCGCGCTCGATTTGAGCCAATTGCGGCTTCGATCTCGGCGCGACAGAAGCTCCGCACTTGGCGCCAACTCGGTTCCGTCCAGGATTATACGAGCGGATTCCTGGCGCTATGCGAACAGGTGGGCTACATGCATGAGAGCGAGCGCATCGACCGCTACATCGGCGGCCTGAAGCAGGACATCGCTCAGGAAATCCAGCTTCGCGGCGTCACTGAGTTTCAGGAGATTCTCGCTATGGCGGAGAAGCTCGACTTCTTTCGCCGACCGAGACCGGGGTCCTACGGAAACAACAACTGGGGACATCGGCCTCGTGGGACGAACGAGAGCGCCACGATACGCGCCGTCGCCGCAAATGCCGCTGCCGCACCGTTCAAAAGGCGCTGCTTTGCGTGCAATCGGCCGGGACATCGCAAGAACGAATGCCCGGAAAACGCTAAGGGAAAGGGGGAAGCTGAGCAGCAGACACAGACCAAGCAGCAGGGAAACGCTGGAAGTCAGTAGCAGACGGGCCCTCTACTGACAGGTCACGCCGCTCGCCCGACCCAACCGACCCTCACCGAGTGATTGTGCCGGTTCACGCAATCGACCACACCCGGCCGAATAAGGAGGGTACCACGGTAGACAGCCCTATACTGCTCAGTGGGAAAATTGGGACGGACTTAGTTAAAATCTTCGTAGATGGGGGAGCCAGCCACAGCCTCATTAACACTGCTACGGCACGAAAACTGCGACTGCCACTGAACAGATGCTTACCTGAGATCGACGCACGACTGGTAGACGGCACGCCACTGGCAATACGGGAACGCGTCGACCGAGTTCGGATTCGATGCGGGGGTAACTTCACGTTTAGCCAGGAAATGCTCGCAACGACCCTCGACGGAACCGACATTTTACTCGGGCGTGATTGGCTGCGACGACACAATCCGCGAATTGACTGGACGACGGGTGACTGCGCCGTGCGAGTGAACGGTAACAACATCGCCTTACCTCGCTGGGGCTCGCCGGGGTCTTCGTCGGTGCGTGTCAATGCGATCACGATGAAACGCGCTGTAGCGGCCGGAGCTGACGTGTACGCGGTTGACATTCGGGAAGCCGAGGCAGCAGACAAGGGAGGAGATTTACAGAAACTGCTGACCAACGTACCGGGTGATCTGGCGGCACTGTTAACACGGTACAGTGACATTTTCCCGGACGACCTACCGACGGGACTGCCACCTCAGCGACCGCACGATCACAGGATAGAACTGGAACCGGGGGCACAGCCAACAGTACAGCGACAGTTCCGACTGACCCAACCCGAACTAGACGAACTGAGGAAGCAGCTCGATTACCTGCTCGAGAAGGAATTCATTCGCCCTAGTTCGTCGCCCTTCGCCGCGCCAATACTGTTCACACCGAAAAAGGACGGGGGTTTTCGCATGTGCATCGACTACAGGGCACTGAACAGGGTTACCATCAAATCCCGTTACCCCATCCCACGAGCTGACGAACTGATCGACCAACTGCGCACAGCCCGGGTTTTCTCGAAAATCGACCTCCGAGGAGGCTACCACCAAATCCGCGTCAACCCACCCGACTGCCCTAAAACCGCATTTCGAACACGCTACGGATCCTTCGAATACACCGTCATGCCATTCGGACTGACCAACGCCCCCGCCACTTTCCAAATGACCATGAACGAAGCATTCCGCCCACTTTTAGATAAGTGCGTCATCGTTTATCTGGACGACATACTGATTTACAGCCCTGACAGAGCACAGCACTTACAAGACATCGAAGCAGTTTTAAAAATCCTGAGTGAGAACCGCCTACTGACCAAAGCATCTAAGTGTGAGTTTTTACAGGACCGCCTGGAGTTTTTGGGACATGTTATTTCAGCTGCAGGAGTGGAAATAGACCCGAAGAAAATTGCGACGATTCAGGCTTGGCACGCGCCGACCAACTTGACCGAGTTGCAGAGTTTCCTGGGGTTCGTCAACTACGTGCGCCGGTTCGTCCCCGACATGGCGAAGCTGACTGCCCCGTTGACCGACCTGCTGAGGAAGGGGGTTGAGTACACGTGGGGGGAGAAAGAGCAAGCTGCCTTCTCGGCTCTCAAAAACATTTTGTGCTCACCGCCCGTGCTTCACATCGCAGATCCACACCGTCCGTTCGAGCTCGTCACTGACGCAAGTGACATCGCTGTGGGAGCAGTACTGTTGCAGGACTTCGGGAATGGCCTCCAGCCAATCGCGTACGAGTCCCGCAAACTACACCCGCCCGAACGCAACTACCCGATACACGACCGTGAATGCTGGCGATCGTGCACGCGTTCAAAGTTTGGCGGTGTTACCTGACTGGCGCCGACGTGACAGTACGGACAGACCACCGTTCACTACAGTACCTTCGCGCCCAACCGAATCTCAACCCACGACAGATTCGCTGGTTGGACTATCTTGAGTCCAATTTTCACTACACCGTCACGTACAAAAAAGGAGCATCCAACATCGCCGACGCTCTCACCCGCCCCACCGCCCAACTCCACGCCATCCTACTCGCCCAGACCAACCCACTTTTAACTGGCCTATTCACCCACGGATACCGCACCGACCCATTTTTCACGACCGGAAATTCACAGCAACTGGCAGAAGCGAAAGGAGTCTATTACGTAAAAACAGGCACCA